GGCAGCGAGAGCAGGCTCTGTGGCACGGTGACGATGCTGTGCCTGTCCCACCCATCCGCCGTGCTCGGAGCTGCAGGGACGCGTCAGCAGCACCGGCTGATTTCTGCCTGCTTGAGTCGCTGCTAGTTAGTGACTAAGTGGCCTCTTGCCGCGTCCCTGCGAGCCCAGCCCTGTCTCTAACCCAGGCCACCACCTCTCACCCCAGCTAATTCTTTTGTTTTTCTGCTTCATTTAACAGGTCATTTTTTTACATGGCCTTGGAGACACCGGGTGAGTATTCCTGGAGCTGGCCCTGGCTCTGACGCGTGGTTTGCTGAACGCAGACCCGGGCCCGGCCCTTTGCTGCGAGCGCCGCTGCTGCTCTCCCCGGGGGCAGCTCCGAGATTTGTCCGGGGCTTTGAGCCCGGTCCGATGGCCGTGCCCGAGCCACCCTCGCAGGGAATCGCCGGCCAGCAGCTGTCTGCGCTTGAATATTTATGATCCCGGCAGCCCCCCGCTGGTTTGATTTTCTGCTGTCTTTAAGGCAAGCAGATAAGCACTGCGGTTTTTCCAGTCCTTGGGAGCTGGGTTGTGTCTACGTGGGTGCGTGTCTGAAACGTGCAAGGCCACCTTAGGGGACAGCGTGAGATCCAGCAGTGACGAAAGGCTTCTCCCTGCCCGGGAGATTCTTTCTCCTCCCTCGCTGATAGCAGCTCCCCTGCCTCCAGCTGCGGGGCTTTGTCTGCTGCCTTAGCTCTGCCGCAGAGGAGATCTGTGCCGGGGATTCGGGCTGCAGTGGTGGGCAGGACCTGGTAAAATAACGTTGGGGCAGGGGGCCAGCAGCCTTGGAGAAAACCTGTCCGTGGGGGAAGTCCCTGTCCTTCCCCAGCAGCCTCCAGAGTGCTGAGGCAAGCTGCAAACTCCCTCCTCTCCTCTCCTCTCCCCAGGCACAGCTGGGCTGATGCTCTCTCCTCCATCCGCCTCCCCTACGTGAAGTATATTTGCCCTCACGCGTAAGTGCCTTCCTTGCTTTGTGAAGGGGCCCGGGTGGGCTGTGACGCTGGTGCCTGCTGCCGAGGCTGTTCGGGGAGGAGGGGGTGGTCTGTGGCCTGGGGCTGTGCG